GTTTTCAGTGATGTTTTTTGCAATATTGAGCTTGTTTCAATATGTTCTTTTTACATATTTTAAATCTTATCAATTATCAGTGTATTGTCATTATAGAAATGTGTGTTTTAATACTTTTTTAAAAATTATTTTCTTTATAAGTTCTGACAGCTTGAAGAAGGCACCACTTACACAAGAACGTTTCCGTACAGATGCCGCCTAACTTTAGGAAATTACTAAAGATGCTTTTGTGCTCTTCTTCTTTTTTTATTTTTTATTTTGTTACATAAACTTGCTCCATCTTATAGCTGAAGATGTTAAAAGGATTTAGAGTCAGTCTCCATTCATCAAGCAGCTAACTGTTCAACAGCATACGTTCTCTGGGCCCTTTTATCACTCCCAACACAATGTTTTGCAGCTGCACGTCAGGGTTCAAGAACCAACGTTGTGATGAGCTGGCCAACCCCTGCGATTACTTCTGTCAGAATGAGGGGATGTGCACATTAACAGCTCTTAACAAACCTCGCTGCAAGTAGGTCCCTTTCACCTCTCCAGCCGTGCTCAGAGCCAAGTCACCCCCTTTTGTACCCACACCCACCTCCACTCCATCCGGCTTCATTCCAGCCTCAGTACAGTGTATATACCTGGACCCTTCTTGTAGCAACCCGTCAAGTAATAAGTGCTAGATTATCTCATTTAAACTTTTTTTTCTTATTTAGGGTAATTATTTCACTAGATTGTCTTATTATGTTTTTTTAAATCAATGTAAGTTATTGAGTCAGCCGTTAATAATAAAAAAAAATGTCTGCAGTCAAAGTGTTCAACTTGCTTCTTTGTATGGAAGCTGTTGGCACTTGCCAATGCACACGCAACTGAATTTATAGTATTTCAGACGCAGCTCCCTCACAGTTTTTGATTTGTTTGTCTTCAATTTACACTCCAGTGGCAGTAATGCAGCTGTCACTTCAAAAAGAAAAGAAGCAATTAGCTGAGTAATTCCTCACTGGGGATTTAGCACAGTTTATGTGACCTTTTTTTTTTGTGAACAGTAATCTTCTGTCACAGTTACTTACCATAAGTGTCCCTATTGTTTTACTCCCCACTTTGCTCTGTGTTTAGAGTTTTAACTTAGATCATGGTCCACACGCTCACAAAAAAAGGTAGGGGATCACATGTCTGCAGAAGGAGATTTTTTATTTACGTATTTATTTATTTTATCACAGAGACCTCACAGTCAAGTGGATAACCGAGCAGACTGGAAAGCATAAGTTCTGTCTATATTTGCAAATAAATCATTTATTTTGCTTAAAACCAAACCCCTTATAATAAAAAAATAAATAAAATACAGTATTAGGATGTAATGTGATCAAGTGATTAAAAGCAAATGTTAAAGGCTAATTTTGTAGACATTTGCTAGTTGCTGACTTGTGATTCCATTCTCCTCCTTAACTAAAATAAACTAGGGATATTAGCACTCATTACACCATGCAGACAAGCATATGTCAAATAATCAGTGGTGGGCAGCACTAATTTAAAAATTAGTTGCACTAACCCTAAAGCACTAACTCTAACATTTAGGTCCTCTAATTCTAAAGCACTAATGCACTTAAAAACTTAGCAAAATCTAAGCACTAACAACCCATCTGACCCATAGAACATTCCTCAGAGTCAAAATAATACAATATTTTCTGTGTGCAGAACTGTGTGGTTCACAAAGTTGGGGTCAGGACTTCTTTGTGAGTCCCAAAACATCAAGTGAGGGTCCCCGGATTATTTCCAGACATCAATTTAAATGCAAATAAATAAATAAATAAATAAATAAATAAAATGCCAATCGAATATTTTCATCATGATATTGCAATTTTAAAAAAATCATAAATGAATGAAAATTTGTATCATAGTTATTATTCCCATGTTTAACAGAGTTATTAGCAAAATTTGCATAAGTAAACAAGTAATATATAGGGTCACGAGTGTCTCCAACTGTTATTTTTGTRGGCCRGAAGCAAAAAAGTTTGAAAACCACTAATCTAGTGGATAAGTGACCAACACGTCCGACAGCTTTCACCCTCAGCTGTTGACAATAATGTTGATCAATAATATTTAAATAACTCAATTAATGCTTATACATTTAGCCCATAAATTTAGCAAGTGCTAATCCACTTATGAATTTAAAAAAGGCAAAATCCCTAAATCACTAATCAGGAAATTAGTTCCCCTATTAGTGTTTAGTGCTTTAGGGGAACTGTGCCCACCACTGCTTATAATATCAAACTAATTCTGTAAAATGTTGTTTTATGTCTTTTCTGCCCAAATTTCATTTCCTATATATATATTTTTTTCATAGACAAGCTCTCTATTTRTTGTTTTTATAAATTATATTAACAACAAAACAAAAGTTAACCTTAATTCCAGGGTATTTTTGGGGTGGTATTTATTACAACCTGAACAGGCACTAGCCGATAAAGWACTTATTACATTGACAGTTGCTGCATGACTCAGCGTTATTTTTGCCCCCCTACTCCCACCCATCTGCCCATCTCATGCAGTCCTCACCCTGCACAAGTGAAACAAGGGGAGATGAAAACATGACACAGTCTGTGTGATGTGTGTTTTAATGTGTGCATTTGTATTTTTGAACATGTTTGGTAACTTTACGTTAGTGGGCCTCAATCACTTTTAAATCAAAAAAATCTCTAAATAAATTGGTGTATATCTTTAAAGCTTGTTAGCTGTTTTCTTAGTTTGTCCTTATKAAAGCAGCTCAAACTTGTATTTTTTGTCTCTTTTCACATCAGCATTCATGTCACTGTGACATTTTGTCCTACAAAGGTGCGATTCATTTCCCGCATCTATGGGACTGCATTCTTATTTTGATAGCCTGATGTTCTGAGTCTGAGGGTGCATGTAATTTAGAATAATTTCATCACCCAGCCGCGCCCACCAGGTCGCTCATGCTTTACAGACCCATCTGCGTCAGTAGTGTAAAATTAAAAATCACCTCTTCTAACAAGGGTCATACATCGCTGCCATTGGACTCCACTGGATCATGAATAAAATGACAACATGTCGTCCTGTGTCGGTCATTTGTTATCATTAGATTTTTTTATGCAGTGATTCAACATAGTAATTAAAACACACATAGATGTAGAGTAATTTCTCCCTGCAGGTGGGGTACTGTTTGTGTCGGATCAAAGCACGCCATAGTGACACAAAACCATAATGTGTTGTATACGTGAGCCACCGTTTCATCTTACTGTAGTTCATTTTKACTTTGTTTCCTCAGCAGTTGAACACCTAATTAAAAAAAAAAACATTTTATTCATAATTTCGTTCTTCTTCAGATGTTCAGCCAATTGGTCAGGAACGCAGTGTGAGAGACCCGCCCCTAAAAGCAGCAGATCAGACAACACCAGCGGAGGTGAGAACTGGGACATTTACAGTAACYTTTAGATCAAAACATCTTCTTTTTTTGGCTAAACGTGAATTTTATATGACAATGCACAATTCAGTTTCAATGCAATGTTTTCTTGTGTGTTCTTAATATCATTTTGTCGTCAAACAATAAATCACATCTCATGAGTCACACTTAATAAAATGATTCTTCATTATTAACATCATGAATCAAAAAAGCTGTAGTTGCAGGTTTATTATGTTCATAGGTTAATTTCTACGGTGGCCCATAAGTGTCGACAGAATGCAAAAACCACAACACAGCAACAAAGGCCACAATGGAAGTTATACTAAAGCAGAATCAGCACAATAAAAGCATTTGTCTTAAAACAGCAGTTATCTACATTAACTAAACAAAATTYATATTTTACTGTCTTTTCAGCTCAAAACATTCCCCAGCTTTAATCCTTTACACTGYGGCTTTGTCTCAATTCATGGGTTGCAGCCGACGTCGGCCGCATTTATCGGCCACTTAAGTTACTGCCCCCGCACCGTAGGCTGTTCCAATTCGTAGGCACCTACATATGCGGCCAACTAATGTAGCCAACAAAACCCGGAAAATGTCGGCTGCATATGAGTATCCTGCGCGGCCGACGGTATCCCAGAATTCATTGCGCTGTAAGCAAACTGAACAGAAAAACAAA